TACTAACTCTCTATCCCTCTCCCTTCCACTCTGTAAAAAATCAATAAAAATATATTTAAAAAATAAAAAATAAATAAAAATAAGAGGCCCTTTGGGGGCCAGCCAGCTGGGCCGGGAGCAGAGGGCCCAGGATGCTCAATCCCTCATGTTCTCCGGCTCCGGAAGAAAGACGGCATTATTCTGAGGATTTTTTAAGGTTGGGGGTGTTCTTTAAGTTTTTCATTTGGCAGCGATCAGGTTTGTAAAGACCTGGAAGAGGTTTCCAGGCGCCAGTGGTGCAGGGTGAGATCTGAGTGCTGCGGGCAGGCAGAGGGGGAGTTGGAGGGCAAACCCCGTGTGACCATGATGGGCCCAGAACAGAGAGAAGAGGCCCACGGCCCCTTCTTGGGCAGCTTGAGAGGCCGGGAGACTTGCTCATGCCCCCAGTCCCGGCCCCTCTGTTAGGGGCAGAGGTAGACTACTGGGGGCAGCCATACTTATAGAAATACTAACCAGGCTCTGCTAACCGAGGCTGCTGTGTTCTGATTGCAGAAGGCACGCCCAAGCCTGGCTGGGAGTTGCACGTGGGACCTGGAGCTCACCTGGAAATGCGGCCCATCCTCCCCATAAGAGGGAGCTGCTTTCATCATGAATGATGAACAACCAGAGCCCCAGCCCTTTGCCTACCCCGGGCCTTGCACACCCCCAGCGCTTACCTGTGAACTGCCCATTCTGCGTACCCATTCTTATTCCTCTTGCCTACTTGCCCACATAATCTCTGTCCGACCCCTTACAAGCAGCCGGCTTGTGGGGGGCGGAGTAGGTCTCTGAGGGTGACCTGCGCTCTCCCACGCTGCCGGCGTTATTAGATCAACGCCCAGATAGGACTCAACCCTGTCTCTGCTGAACCGGCTCAGGTAGTGACAGGCAGCCCGGACCCCATGGTGACCAGGTTTCACCTTCACCAGACAGGAGGCTGGTCTCCTTCCTGCAGTCCCGGTGCCCTGACCTTTGGCCACTGCCAGCCAGGGCTCAGCCAGCCCGGTTCCAGCAGGAAGAGGGGCCGAGCCCGTCTGCGTGCCCAGGGCAGAGCGGTGAGGATGTCGCCTCGCTGCTGGTTCCACAGGCCTGCGCCTCCCGGGCTTCTCCGGGGGCCTCTCACATTTGGGGGGAGAGAGGAGGAAAAGCTGGCATTTCTCTAGCCTGCTGTGGACAATTCCAGAACCCCTCTGAGCAGATGGGGACACGGAGGCTACAAGAGACATCGGAGACTTGCTCAGGCCTCACCACCAGGACACAGTCTGGCATCATTCTGTTCTCTGTGCCTGTAAACACTTCAGAGGCTCCTAGACCTGTGTCCTCCGGAGTGACCCAAACGGCGTGTGAAAATGCAGGTTCCTGGGCCCTGGGCCAGAGGGGATGCCCTGGATTCTATGTCCCCTGTGTCTTTTTTTTTTTTGTCCTCATCCGAGGGTTTATTTTTTAAATATATTCTGATTGATTTCAGAGAGGAAGGGAAAGAGGAAGAGAGAGAGACATCAATGAAGAGAGAGAATCATTGATCGACTGCCTCCTGCATGCCCCACACTGGGGACTGAGCCTGCAACCCGGGCATGTGCCCTGACTGGAATCAAATGACGCTCCACCACTGAGCCACGCCGGCCAGACTATCTTTATTGATTTGAGAGAGAGAGGAAGGGAGAGAGAGAGAATCATCGTTCAGTTGTGTCCCATACGTGCCCCAACTGGGGATGGAACCTGAAACCTAGGTGTGTGCCCTGACCAGGACTGGAACCCACAGCCTTCTGATGTTTGGGACAACGCCCCAACCACTGAGCCACCTGCCAGGACAGTGTGTGTTTCTTTACCAGCATCTCAGCTAACCGTGGAGTGTGGCGTGGCTTGGGCTTGGAGCAGCGTCCTCGCCCTTGCCCTGTGGGCAGCCTCAGAGGTGCGGTGGTAGTTGGGGCGGGGGGAGGGGAGGCAGGTGTGTCCTGGTCCCCAGGCCTCAGGTCAGGGACTGACGTGGGTGCTGGGGTGAGGGGGGCGGGGGGTGTTCACTTACTGTGTGTGGAACAAATGAGTACTCTGCAGAGGGATCTGGCGGGCTGAGCGGGAAAATCACTCAGAGGATAGTGGCTCCCAGACACCCGTGTGGCACATGGTCATTTTGAAAGGACAGTGAGAGACAATTTCTCATCCTTTCTCTTTCCAGATGCATTTCCCATGAGTCACTCCAAGCGCGGGCGTGTGATGTCCCCCAGGGATCATGGCACCTGGGTCAATCCTGACTGAAGGCTGAGGCCACGGCCGGCCGTGGACACTCAGGATCCTAACGAACCGCTGGTGGGGCAGAGAGCTCAGCCTCTCGGACAGGAGAGCAGCGACTGAGACAAAAGGGTTTCATGCTGTGCTCCCAGCTCACCTGCACTCACTCTCCTTCTCCTTCTCCCTGCGGGGCCCCAGGTCCAACCCGAACAGGGAGACCTGGGCTGTGGACTCAGACTTGGGCTCCACGTCAGTGTCCCCATTTGCTGGCTGTGCTTGTGCGAGCCTCAGTCTCCCCATCTGTAAAATGGAGCCGATACTCCATGCTGCAGGGCAAAGGGAGTGACTGCCTGCCACACCTGCCCCAGTGCCCGGCCTCTGCTGGCATCCACATCTCACTCCCTTTGTTGTTGGGCATGGTGCCATTGTCTCCTTCATTTTTCTCTTTTGGGGACACAGGAAGCAAGTAATTCTTTTTCGGCATCTTTGATTCTTTAGTAAATTTTGTGTTTGTTTAAAAATGGCTTTGCCTGGCTGTTTTGGCTCTGTGGTTGGAGCGGCGGCCTGTGGACAGAGGGGTCGTGGGTTCGATTCCCGGTCAAGGGCACCTACCTCCATTGCAGGTTCCCCGGCCCTGGTCAGGGCCGTGCAGGAGGCAACCAATCGATGTGTCTCTCGTGTCGATGTTTCTCTCTCCCTCCCTCCCTTCTACTCTCTCTAGAGATCAACGGAAAAAATATCCTTGCGTAAGGATTTTTAAAAAGGCCTTATAAAAGGGCTTTTATAACCCATCTATCCCCCCCCAAAATCTTAGCTCAATGATCAGTCAGGTAATTTAGGACAAGATTTGTGCATTCCACTCACAATGACTCCCCTAACTGGGAGCACCCCCCATTTCCTCAACCAATCCAGGCTGTGCACACACATCCTCCAGGGGCCCTCACAGCTGACCTCCCGCAGCCTGGCCCCGCCTCCCGCAGCCCTGGCAGAGGTGCCTGCCTGGATCTGCTCAGCACATGGTGTGGCTCCTGCATTCTGGGCCTAGGCTCCTGCACAGCTTCAGCTCCCTAAAGAGGCCGGGCCTGTGCCCCCCATGTCTCTGTTCTCCCCACTGTGCCCCCCACTATGCCAGCACAGCCTTCAGGATCTCCCTCCGGGCTTATTAGCTGAGCAATGTGATCACTGATAAAATGAAGCTGTGAATCAGGAACAAGACAAAGAGCCACGTGCAGACCCCAGCACGTGGGTGGATCCATCCTGAAGACACCCCCCCCACACACACACACACACACACACAGCGAGGAGTGTGCAGGGGTCTCAGGGCCCCGAGGACCCTCCCAGCGTGGGGTGTGCATTACCTGGGCTCTCGGCGCCCCCTCCCTGAGGACGCCCCCATCACGGGGTGAACCCCCCCAGCGTGGGGTGTGCATACCTGGGCTCTTAGCCTTCCCCCCAGGAGCCCCCAGCGTGGGGTGTGCGTTACCTGGGCTCTCAGAGCCCCCAGTGCGGGGTGTGCATACTTGGGCTCTTAGCCGCCCCCCAGGAGCCCCCCAGAGCGGGGTGTGCATACCTGGGCTCTCAGCACCCCCCCAGAACCCCCCCAGCGCGGGGTGTGCGTTACCTGGGCTCTCAGCCGCTCCACCTCCTCCGACAGGCTCTGCCGCTCTTGCAGGAGCTCGTTCTGCTTGCTGAGCAGCTGCACCAGTTGCTGGGCAGTGGCCTGGCTGTGCTGGTCCAGCTGCTGCAGCCTGGAGAGATGGAGAGAAACCAGGTGAGTCAGCCAGCCAGGCCTGAGTATCGAGGGACAGTCTAGCAGCAGCGGTTCTCAACCTGTGGGTCGCGGCCCCTTTGGCGGTCGAATGACCCTTTCACAGGGGTCGCCTAAGGCCATCCTGCATATCAGATGTTCACATATCGATTCATAACAGTAGCAACATTACAGTTATGAAGTAGCAACGAAAATCATTTTATGGTTGGGTCACAACATGAGGAACTGTATTTAAAGGGCCAGAAGGTTGGCAACCACTGGCCTAGCAGGGACCCTGAGGGGTGAGGCCTCAGCCGGAGGGGCCCTGGAGGGGCATTAGGTCAGTCGAGGGGACGGGTCCCAAGTGTGAAAGGACATCAGCAGCCCTCAGGACTGGGAAACACACAGGTGAGGCAGATGAGCAGAAAGCAGACACCCTACCCTCAGAGGGCAAAGGCCAGGGCCTGCATCCTCCCCTGGCAGCCAGGACCCCCGGGCAGACACCAGCCCGGCTGGGGCAGCGGCGAGGAGGGCGGACGCACGGGGCTAAGGGTTTTCCATTACTAATCACCCAGTCGGTCACACGGTGCATCGCTGACCAGGGTCTCTAAAGACCCTAAATCTGTCCTGCGGACGGGCTCCCTCTCCAGGCTCACTCACTCACACTGTCCAGCCACAGCGCAGCCCGGGCCGGGTCTCTAAAGACCCGAAATCTGTCGTCCTGTGGACGGGCTCCCTCTCCAGGCTCATTCACTCACACTGTCCAGCCACAGCGCAGCCCGGGCCGGAGGCTGCGGGTGGGGTTCGGGTGGAACGGAGCCAGCATGCCCTGCTCTGAAGACGTGGCTGTCCCACGCCTTCCTGACAGCCCGCAGTGGCCAGAAGCACCCAGTGACATTAGCTTGTATTTTCTCTCTCACACACACACACACACACACACACACACACACACACACACAAAGGGCTTTGAAAGCTCAGGGCACATTTCAAGCTCCAGGCTCCGTGTCCAACACTGAGGCAAAGACCCAAAGCCTGTTTTGCAGACACCGGCCTGTCTGGGGGCCTGAGCAGAATTCAGCCCCCCCTGGAGTTCGGGAACTGAGGGGTGCCCACCTGGGGCGCTCACTGACACACCAGCCTGGTTGGCACTGCACTTGCAGCGAGTAAAGGAGACGGGGTTCCCACCCGAGCGCTGTCTCCGGAGAAGGAGGCTCCGTGGCTTCTAACGCCTGCGGGTTAACTGCACATCAGCTTCACTGGCTACACTTACAGGGCTGGGTTCAGGGCTCACCCTGCTCACAGCCCGCTGCCCAGCACTGCGCCCCCTTTCAACATGAAGCGGGCGCAGCATGGAGTCAGCATGGCCCAGACCTTGAGACCCTGGTCCATTGGACACCAGGACGGAGAGCTGGGCCTCAGGGTGGGCAGGCGCCTTCACTAAGGGACACGCAGCCTCTGCAGACAGGCTTCCTGGGAAACCTAGCAACAGGCCAGCCCTGCCTCAGGCCTCCTCCCCGCACTCTCCTGAGGAATAGAGCCCCCCAGAGGGGGGCCAGTCAGCACAGTGCATGCTCCCACAGCTCCAGGACCAGGGTCCAGGCCTGGGCTGGCCCCGCCCACCGGCCCAAGCCCCGCCCACTGGCCTCCTCTCCCCTGGCTCTGGAGGAGAGTGAGGACCAGGGACAGGAGCCAGTCAGAGAAAGACATGGTCTCACTCATGTGTGGAATCTAATGAACAGAATAAACTGATGAGCAAAAGAGATCCAGAGGCACAGAGGCCTGGAGCAGACTGAACCTCAGAGAGATCGACCAGAGAACTGTGTGCATCTGTGCATGACCCAGGGACACAGGCAGGAGGGTGGGGGAGGATGGGGGGGCCGGTAGAGGTCAATGGGAGAAGGAGGGGGACATATGTAATACTTTCAACAATAAAGATATTTTTAAAAAGGACCCTGGGCCGGCTCAGTCCCTCCTTCCTGTGTCTGCGGCTGTGCAGGGCTGGCTCGGTGCTCCTCACCCCCAGCCCGGGCTGCAGTCAGACCGGCCCCTCCTTCCAGTGCTCCACCCCACAGCACTGTACAGAACACAGTCCCCTCTTCTCCCTCACCCCTCCTCTGCTCTGGGATGGAGACACAACGTTTCCCCTGGTGAAGCCCGGCATGTGGCTTTGGGAAGTCCACTCTGCCCCCTGCCCGCCCCCACCACACAGTCAGGTGGGGACAACTTGTCCTGGGGGCACAGTCTCAAAACCACGCAGCTCGCATCAGACCAGACAGAAGCCCACAGCCTGCAGACCCGCACAGGCTCCGTCCTCACAGCAGGAAAGAGACGGAATCATCGGGTTTCCGAGCACAATCCCCATGGGCCTTCTTTCCCAAGACCCGCCTCTCATCTCCGCAACCGGCAGGTATTCCCCTTTCCCAGACACCCCGGGGGCACGCAGTGCTGTCCCGGTGCCCAGGGGAGCTGGGGCCAGGCCCATCCCTACCCATGAAGCACCTGTGCCTGCCGGCCAGTCCCCGGGGCAGGACACGTCTAGAGCCCTCTGCACCCCAGGCTGGGGGCACCGTCCTGACCACAGGGCCCTTTCCCCCAGGACCTGCGGGCACACCTGGGCAGAACTGGGGCGTCTTGGGGGAGAAGAGCAGCTGCGCCCCTTCTGGGGCAGAGCTCCCCAGGAGTCCCAGGCCTGCAGGGGCAGCGGTTTCCATGGGAACCAGCTGCGTTTCTCAAGCCCGGGATGCAGATGCAAGGAAAGGCACTGGTGTGTGTACAGGGCCGACACCTCTCTGCTGGTCCAACAGCGATCGCCCCACACACCCCACAGGTGCGATCAGAACCAACATGTTTTTAAAATACGCAAGACTCCGGGAGGAGAGGGAGCAAGTGGCGAGACACTAGACAACTTTGCAGAGCCGAGCGGGCTGGGGAAGTAGCTCATGCAAAACAGAAGCAGTGCACGCAGCCAGCTCCGGTCCTGTGCTGCAGACACTCATTTGCTATGAATACTGTGAAAGCAAGTGAATACATATATTCAAATTTTTTTATGTTGTATGTGATACATACAAAATATATGCAGTGTATCCATAAGTTATGAGGTGTAATCACCAAATGAACACTGTGAGCCTGGTCCCAGTCCCGCGGGGCCACTCCCTCTAGATCTGTCTCCAGGCCAAACACTTGGACCCCCAGAGCCCCAGAGGTGGCCAGTGTCCTCAATATGTATGTGTGTGTGTGTATATATATATACACACACACACACACACACACACACATATCCTTACCCAAGGATATGTTTTTGTTGCTAATCCTCACCGGAGGATATTTTTTCCATTGACCCTTAGGGAGTGGAAGGGAGGGGTGGATACAGAGAGAAACATCGATGAGAGAGAGACAGGTGGATTGGCTGCCTCCCACAGGCTCCCCGCCTGGGGCTGGGCATTGAACCTGCAACCCAGGTAACTTCCCTTGACTGGAATCGAACCTGTGACCCTTCAGTCCAAGGGGCCAGCACTCTAACCACTGCACACCCGGCTGGGGTGAACTCGAAACCTTGGTGTACAGGATGACACTCCAACCCACTGAGCTACCCAGCCAGGGCCCTCACACATGTTTTTGATTAGTTCTATTTTCACCCAACAGTTTCACCAGGGAGCTTCCTACAGTCTACTGTTGATATGTAGACATTTTTGTTGTTGTATAAAGTGTCTTTTGTCCTGAGATGGTTTCAGACCGGAGCCCCTCCCTTTGGTCACTGTGGCCACAATAAAGGCTTTTTCTTCCCCTTCTTAGCCATGTTCTCGAAGTGCTCAGGCCACAGGTTCCCTGGCCGAGGAGGCCTCCTATGGAAGGGAAGACCATTTTCCCAACAACATATGGATTTAAGAGGTGCAGATACTTTGACTGTAAAACACCCACTATTCCCGGGAGCACGCTCTAGCATTTACTGAGCACTTGCCCGGGGCAGGGAGCATCTAAGCATTTTACATTCATGAACTGATTTAATCCTCCTAACAACACTGAACAGCAGGTATTACCTGCATCACTATCATCCGCATCATTTCTTGCAGGAGAAAAGCAAGGCCCAGAGAAGTGAGTCATTTTCCCAAGGGCAGGCACCGCGGCGCACCCTCCCTCTGGGCCCCGCTCACACGGCTGGGACCTGTTTCCCAGGTGAGGCCTCCCTTTCCATCCACTCCACTCAGCTTCTGGTTCCGGAGATCAGTCCCCTAGACCCGTGGTCGGCAAACCGTGGCTCGCGAGCCACATGCGGCTCTTTGGCCCCTTCAGTGTGGCTCTTCCACAAAATACCACGTGCGGGCGCGCACGTACAGTGTGATTGAAACTTCGTGGCCCATGCGCAGAAGTCAGTATTTTGTGGAAGAGCCACACTGAAGGGGCCAAAGAGCCGCATGTGGCTCGCGAGCTGCGGTTTGCTGAACCGCAGTTTGTTGACCACTGCACTACACCTTCCGAGCCTCTCCGTGGCCATTCTTTCCCCCCACTCACCCTCGCTCCCACCCACACTTCCTGTCTGCCCCTCCCACGGAACTAGGGATTTCTTAAAGATGGGCCCTGGTTCAGCCCTCCATCTCCAGCACCTAGCAAGGTGCCTGGCCCTTAGACCAGGCCAGATAAACGTGTCAGAATGAGCAAACCACTATGGACATATTATACTGATACGAGACCTATAATTTCATCTATAGGACAAGTATGCTTTGATATGTAATACATACTTTGTTCCCGAAAGAACAGAAGATATACATTACCTTTAGTTATGCTACTGATATCCGGCTCTTACATAAACGACTCCTAGGCCAGATCCACGAGCCTGGACTTGGCAACAGGAGACCAGCTCACCAGCCGACACAAGCTACCCATTGTCCTTGGGTGAGAGGCTTCATCTCGCGCAACCTAGGGTTCCCCATTTCTAAAACCGAGACAAGACCTCCAGATCCTGCAGCCGAAACTCTGGGGCAGGCCCTCTGGGTGATTCTGATG